TTTACAGGAGCAAGCCCTGAACAGCACCACTTACACCAGCCTGTTGCTACCAGCTGCATGGTTGCAGGCCTAATGCTGCTCACCTCATAAGGGAAACGTCTCCTACTGCATAGCAGAACAGGCAGCAGGCCTTTCACAGCTGCTCTGGTGGCGACGAGATGAGGCACCTCAGGCTACTGCTGCACGCAGAAAAGCAAGATGACAGCTCAGCTGCACACAATTGCATTAAAAGCACAAAAATAGAGATTTATACAAGGCAGCACCAAAATCGGCTGCACACATCAGCACAAGCCGAACTCCTCCTCCAAGAGGGAGGCATTCTGCGTTTGCCTGCCCAAGCACTGCGGGCTTTGCTGCTAATAGGATCATTTCCTTCTAAAACCTTCCCCACGGCAGCAGCCCAGGAACACGCACAGCTAAGTTAGGCTGAAAGGGAATTTTCCACCACCCACAAGCCTCTTTGTACCTTGCATAAATCTTCTCAAGCGCAGGCCCCAAAGAAACTGCACCAGTCTCTGCAGATGACATGTAACAAGCAATTAGCCAAGATAAATCTTCAGGGCCCCAACTCCTATGTCAAGTTTCCTTTACATCCTCACATTTAAAATAAGCACACATTGAATTTACACCTCCTTCCAGGTCCCTTCACATTGCTATAATCATAGGATGGGGGCTCAGTGTAAATCACGATAAGGCCATTAAGCAAAAGATCATTCACTCTCTGTCAATTAAGGGATATCAGATACAGGCAGATATACTGATGAGACATCCCTTTTCAGCTGAGAAAATAAGCTTAAGCAATCCCTATATAATCACTCTTTTCTCAGTAAACTTTCTGAAGCACAGAAAAGATCAAAGGTGGCTTTCCCAGCCAACAAAGTTATTAACACCTCAAGGAAAAAGTAACGTTACACAAAAGCCAGAGCTGTCTGATGGCTTCCTTGATCTGAGGACAGAGACAAGCGGTAGCAGCAGGGGGCCATTACTCTCAGTACAAACAGGGCAGCATCTGAGTACGAATAGGAAAACAACATGCTTATCTGTGAAAAAGATGTACTTTCAGGACATTTTTTGAATTGCTACTTCTTTGAAGGAACAGTTTCCAAAATAGAAAACTGCATGTATATTTTTAACTACAGAAAAACGTCTTCACAGCACGTGATCAGAAAGCACACTGGCGATAATGCACTGTATGCTGAAGTTAAAAGAAAAAGGGACAGGCATCGCCCTTAAAGTTGGTTCACAAGCAGGTGAAGTCTGGATCCATTTTCACCACAAGGAAGACAGAAAAAAACAACCCAAGAACTAAAAAAACCCCCAGGCAGCTGATCTCTAGAAGTATCCTTAATTTTATATGGAACAACAGACCCATGGAATACCTTTTAGTTCATGATTTCTATCTTTGTTAACTGAGAACAGAGGGAAGGGAGTCCGTGACGAGGAGAAGCAGTAAAGCTCAGTTTTCTGCTTGTACTTTCACTAAAGCTAACATACAGCATGGACACTCTGACGTACAAAGAATGCTTCTCTCCTATTTTCAGGATGATGACTGCAACTCACTATCCCTACAAACTCAACTTTCCTCTGCAAAATGTGGCTAAAATGGGCCAAAGGATTTAAAAGCTGCTGAGAAGAGACCACAAAAAGAAACAGATATGCACAAAGTAAGGAGTGAAGCTCCAACAACAACAAGAGAAGTAACAATCAGCAGTTCCCAAAATATGACATAAATATCACCTGCAGTTTGAAAGCGGTATGCAAATGGCATCCTAACAGCCAAATGACATTCATGCACACCACTGGGACTGAATTTGTAAAAGCCTTGTACAGAGTACAATTAAACTAAAACAAAACACAAGCATTTAATTCATCATAACTAGCATGGCAAGAGCCTCCTCCCCAACACAGTATGCTCTGGCCAGCCTACCTGCACTGGACCGAGATAAGGAGAACCCAATCGTAACTCACAAAGGGCTTTCCGAGTTGTCCGAGTTTCTGTAAGAGTCACGCCAAAAATCACACCATCATTACCTCAGCCATATAAGGAAAAACCCCCACACTTCTAGAAAGAAAATATAACTCAGGAGGGTATCATTGAAAAGAGAAACTCTGTGTTTGAATTGAAGAAATGGTAATGAATGTTCCAGCCCCAGCCTGAAAAGTGTGGGAGCATGGAGCTGGGAGAGCAGTATGCACCTCTGGCTATGTCAGTCCATAGCTCTGCCCACATTTGCTATCACATGCCTGAGAAAACTCAGTGCAGAGAAAGCTATTAGAAAAAAATGTCATTACTTAATATTTATATAGCACTTTCCACCTGGCAATAAAGTAATTTACCAAGAAAAATAAAAACATACAGTGGTGTTCTGTGTGATCAGTAGCTTATGCTTTCAGAGGAAAACAAATCTACTTCATCTTTATTAGAATTAAACTTTAAGGCCTGAATTCACTATACATTATTCACTGTTACATTTTAAATCAGCAGAGAGGTAATCAATCAGCTCATTAGCTCCAAAATGCATTTAACAGTACATTTTGCTAAGTTCCCATATTAAGAAAACCACAGAAAAACCTGGAGCTGTTAACATCTTTTTATCATTGGTTAAGAACTAACAAGTTAGGGCACTGTAATTGTTGCTTTAAAAAAAATAAAAAATAAAAATCCCACCTTGCAGCTTTGCCACCTTGGACTATTCTCTTGCTAATGATGCCCAGTTAATGATTCTCCCTTATTTCAATTAGTCTGTTGAGATCTCTCTGAAATCACTTCCAGCTACAACAGGGCTTCCTTTTTGTGGGTAGCAGCACATGTCAGCTTGGCACAGCTTTCCTTTTTCACAAGTGCAAGATGCTTCCTTGTGTTGATACAGGAAGCTATCAAAAACATACTGTGGGTGGATTTAAGAGCAGATTCCATAGCACTGGCCATCATTAGGATTTCTAGCCAGCAACATTATGGTGATCTGAAAATTAATCTCTTAGGACTACGATCTGAAAAATACAGTTCACATGCTCACTGTGACAGAGCAATTCCTGTATTTCAGGTATGTGGTCTGTCTCTCTCCCTGCAGGATGAGGTGGCACCGCACTGATTTTTATTGCTGGTAAACTCAAACAAGAGACTGCTCTTTATGAGACAAAATGCAAGCACAGGAAAATATGATGGCTGCATCCATTCAGTTCTGGTTTTCTTTTTTTAATGCATAATATAAGTACACAAATTTAAGTGGCATTCATACTCCTGGCAAGTTGCGAACTCGTCCCGTTGGTAACACAAACGTTGGGCATTTTTGAGTCGGGACACCATGGCAGTGAATCACTGGAAAAGTCAGGGATTCATCCTGTCTCCTTTAGTAGTAGGGAGATGAATTTTCAGAGGGAGGTAAATTTTCCTGTTCTCTGAGGTACTGAACATTGAGCAAGGCTGGATATAAGAAAAAGGCAGATAGTTAATCCAAGTAACTCTAGCAGCTCTTTTATATGATACCTCGCTTTTCTGGCTTCTTTATTAATCTTAACTGTTAGAAGAAAAACCAAGTTAAAATGTGTGATATTTAGAGAGCATCTTATGACTTCTATATGTGCTCCCGCAAATACAATTAATACTTCATTTTAAATTAATTTTCCTTAAAGTTTCTCTAGCAGTTTCATATTTCTTCTATGCTCCATTTGCACCTGGTGTTCTCAGATAACTTACATAGCCAAGAGTTAAATAATATTTTGAAAATCAAAAGTAGAATTATGAGGCTCAATAGACCAGTAGTAGTACAGTAAAGACTTGACAAAAATACAAAGACAACTGGACTCTGGAACCAGTCCTATTTTTAACACCTCTATAGCTTCTGTCTAATTAGGTTCATTTTGTGACAAACAAAAACGGGATTAGATCAGCGTTACTGTTGTTATAGCAGCCTAGGTGATTTTACTTGTCAAGCATTTAATCAATTTTTAGTCCTGTACTGGCCTCTCATTTTCAAAGCTCATGGGAGACGACATGCCTTTCTCATGAGCATGAATCATGAAGTTCACCCACGTCAGAGTTAACCTGCAGTGAAATTGCCATCTTTATAAATACTTCACAACATTTAAAAAATGGCGTGCTGTCTAGGAGAGGGAGAGGAAGATCATAGCCCATTCATTCTCCTTGTTTTTTCCTGGAGGGAAATGGGAGAAGTGGAATTCTGTATTTCAGATAACAGAGACTTCATTCCTAACAGATTTCAATGTCACATATTGAAAACATGGTCAGTAAACAACAACTACAAGCCCCTACTTGTTCATATGACAAATATTTCACTGAAAAATGGAGCAACATCAAAAAGCTAGGAAACAAATGGTCATTCTCATCTCTGTCAGTGTTGCAGCTGGTATTCACGGAGGTTTAGATTAATCCATGAGACATTTCTTCAGAGCTTATCCTAGGTGTCAGTTAAGCAAGAAATCTGGCTCCCGATAACCAAAAAGTTTAAAATCGCCTTCAAACCGTGCGTAGAGGCGTCTTATGTCTCTCTTGCTAATTCCTGAAAAATACCGCTCTACTTTTGTTTTGTTGTACACTGTTATGCCTGGTGGAATCGTGGGGTATGATACCAGATGGTCTATGCCGGCTGCTTTCAAGATATACGGAGCATCGTCCTCCAGGGTTTCATGGTGTCCGATCACACTATAGGTGATTTCACAGGGGGCGCAAAGTTCCACATATGTTACCCAATGAATGATGTGGTCACCAAACTGAACATCCAGCCATCGGTGGTTAGGGTCACCCAGATAGCGTACAAAATCCTCGAACTGCAGCCCTTTGGTCTCTGTGCGATTCTTTCTATATTTACGAATAATGCCAGGAGCAATTTCATGCCGGTACCAAGGTTCAAACCGAGGATTGTGCACAAACTTGTCTTTAAATGCAGAAATAAGTCTTTCAAATGGATCTCTAACAATAAAAAACTTGAAGTATAAACTCAGTCTAAACAGAAGAAGGAAAAAAAAGAAAATAAATAAGTACAGAAAGTGCTTAGCAAAGTGTTTAAAGTGCGTTTAGCAAAGACTTACAAAATGGACGTAAACTGACCACAGACACAGCAATATGAGTCTTTCACCACTTGCATAGTCTATTATAGTCATAATCAATAGGACTAGAAATACAATTTCTCTCTTCTTACTAACACTTTTTGTACACAATAAAAGTGGAAATAGTTCATCCTAGTTTTCACATTTTATTCAAACTGGAGAAGCTTAGTTTATCTCAATCCATATAAACAGGAGACAAAAGATGCTGAAAAGATGCTGAAAGCTCCTAGTCAAAGATACTTTTAATGTCATGTGATTAAGCTCAAGAAGCAAAATACACAAAGGTGTGGAAAAAGCAGCTTGGTGCAGCTAAATGCATACAGAGGGCTGCATTTTTCACTGGCAGGCAGTTAGAAAAATCACTGCTTAAGTAAAAAAAAATAAAAATAAATCTGGTACTTTATTTGATGTTTTGCCATGCTTTCAGTAATGGCAGAGAACATTATTTTCATGAGACCACAGTTTTCAACAGAATTTCACATTTTGTTGTGATGCCACTGAACTGTAATGTTCTGTAGTCAGAGACTATTTGTACGAGGAGTAAATTGAAAACAAAGTTTATTTCAGTAAATAGCTGAGAAAGGAGATTTAGAGCCCGATCCTCACAGAAATAAGTGGACGGGCTCTTTCCAGCCTCAACAGGCACTTGGATCAGTCTTCAGGTTTTCCTGAAGTTATTTCTAACCAGGCAAGGCTAGAAGTCAGCAAACGAGATCATCAGATCCACACCATCTCTCTCTTTACATCTAAACTCTCTGATAATTTCTTTCAGAATTCCCAACCAAACCCATGGTATGCATCTCCAGCACAACTCCTGTGGTGGGTTGACTTTAACAACCCAAATCATAATGGCATTCAACTTCAAATACCCTAGCTATGGCTCATCCCCCAGGTGAGCCGTTTATTTCTACGCAGGGCTGTTCACAGTGAGGGAAAACAGATCCATGTTCTCAAGAACGCGGTGACAGTATTTTCTCTTGCACAGTATCAACACAATCAAGTGACCCCATTTCCACAAGCTGAGATAAATGCATTCGTATCGCTGAATGCCACAAACCTTGGACTGAACTCTACTCATAGCTGACACCACATGTATAAGGGGCTGAGTCTTCACAACGGCTTAATACACACAAAAACCATGCAAGCACAAGCTTACAAGTGTCCACTGTCATCTTACATCCTGTTCTCTCCATGCTGCCACCCCTTACAGGGATTATATATGGCATAGGCTCTAGTAGAGATGAGAGCAGACACAGTCAAAAATCTAGCCAAAGTAATTTAGAAGGCCCTACTGTAGAGAAGCATTTTTTCTGCTCTGAGAAGAACCAGAAGCACCGAAACAGGAAGATAGAGTGATTCAGCTGAATGGACAATATTCTCAGGGTAAGGAGCACTAACATTTTAAACTTACCCAGTTCAATCCCAGTAAGTAAATCTGCCTGTAGTGACAACCTTATGTGCAAGTGGTAAGATTTACTACACAAGGCATCAGGGTGGACATTCCAACTCCCTTCTGAAGGTCAACTATGTAACAACCAGATATGCACAGAACTACAGAAATCCTATATCCAGAGGGGGTCATTTGGCTCACCTATCTCTATCACCAACTACACTGGTGTTCTCTTTGAAAGCCTGTAGCGAGGTAGGCACAGCAACCTCTAAGTAACAGGATACTGCTGTAATACCAGTGGTGGAGCAGAAGCCTCGCTATCCTCAATTTCAGATGTAGACTTCAACTGTACTCGACTGCTTGCACCGCCACTGCCTCCAAACTGCTCCTACACCCCCGGGAAGCCCCCTCTTACCGTTTTTTAATTTCAGAGTCACTGAAGGAGGACAAACGTGGAAGGCCATTCTTCTCATGATCATGTACAATATTTTCTGGGATCTCCTCTATGGAAGAAAATGCTCCTAGACAAATCAAGAAGAGAGAGCAAGTGAATCTCTCAAGGGGAAAAAAAACTGAGCACAAGCAAACGTGTGCCTTTGGCTGACAGCTTTTTGTTTTATGTTTCTCTTTTCTGTATTTTTAGCATTTACGGCTACTATGTTTAAAACTGTTAAATGAGGAGAAATTCTGACTGTGAATCTGAAAACTGTTAAAATTCTTTAGGGTATGTGACATCAAGGTCCAAGCCCAAATGGCCTCAAAACTCTCAAAAAAGCACATTACGCAAATTTCATCAGCAATTATGTCTAAGCCTGTAACTCCCCACCTCAGTGTCCCCATTCTCTTTC